TGAGAATTATAGAGAGACAACCCTAACCCAAGCCTATTAACTATAGCTAATTACTAACCAAACCCTAACCCTAGGTGAACCTCAACAAAATACTCACACTATACATCTAACAAACCTAAGGAAGGCAAAGTCTACCCACTTTCCTAGAGCCTTTGGCGACAGAGAGACTAGTGTACAACTTTCGCCCGAGGCTTAAAACCTTTAAAGCTAGTAGTATGCTACCCCCTTTTTGGGATCGGGTTGTCTAAAAGGGTCATTCAATCGTCATCGGTGTATCTGAACCCTATCGAGGTAAGTATTTGGGCTTTGTTCCCACTTACATTTTTTTTTAACAGAATGATGTTTCTTTTTTTTGGCCCTTGATCGAATGGAATGGCAGAATATGATTCATATATCTGACTCCAAATAGTTGGAATAAGAAATAATGATAATGGTGATGATGTTGATGATGATGTTTTTAGTTCCTTTGTACGTGCCTTGATTCGCGTTATCCACATTTTCTTTGGGAGTGTCATACCTTTACACAGAGACAGCACACAGACACACGAAGAGAGTGAGTGACATCACTTATTTTCAAGTAAATTTTATCGAAATTATAAATTATTTATCGTAAACAATTGATTCAACCCAAGAATAGGACAGTTGCGGCAATGCCCTATCTAGATTGATGACTTCCATTCTAGATCCCATATTTTGGAATCATTGATTGGTACAAAGAGGGTTTCCATTATTCCCCTTTATCAATCAATCTTGTCAAATTTGTTTCGCTTCAGCCCAAGAGGCCGAAGCCTTCGTATTTTAGGCGTAAACCGAAGAGAACTGAAGCCTGGTGCTGCCACTTCAGTGCCGCTTCGGCTTGCTTCGGTCAATTCAGACCGCTTCGGGTATGTTTCGGCGAGCAAAGAAATAGCTATATAAATATATATTTTTAAGTTCTAAATTTTTTTCATTATTTGTATATATATTTTATATATAAATATCTAATTTATTTATACTAATTTTTTTAAAAAAAGTCCGAAATCTTCTCCTGAATCGGTTGAAGTACCGAATTGATTCATTTTTCTAATCAAACTGAAGAAGACTCCGAAGGAAATCGGACAACATTGTTATCAATACAAAAAAGGTTCGTGAGTTATCCCTAGAATCCTTGGGAAATTGGAAGGTTTAGATTTATTTATTTATTTTTTGGTGAGTTTTTTTGTTTTTTTGCAAGGGGGGGGGGGGGGTCGAGGGGGGGGGCATCGGTGGCCTACATGCTAGGACCTTTGGTAAGTTGTTTAGAAATTTTTGCACTAGGATGGAAAGCTAGAAAGTTCATAACCTAATTCATCGATTAGAGGTTGCAATTTATATTTCCATGATATTATTTACCAAATAGGCAGGTTAAATTGTAAATTATTGATCCAGTTACTGACAAAAGCTTCATCCAACAAAGTGACCCGAATAGAGTTTAAACAATGTGCTCCAATGTTAGTCAAACTACCCTATCAATTTGTACATATCCATGAACTAATCTTATTCAGTTTCACATCGTCTCATCACATAAAGTCATCCTTGACATATGGTATAATCCACATAATTATGAAGGGGAAGAACTGTGAAGGGAGAGATGGATTTATAGAGATCTTTTAACAAATCTAAAGAGAGAAGGGTGGAGTCTTGCTGGGAAAGAGTGATTGGGGGCATAGAGAGAGTAAAATAAGAATGAGAGAGAGAGATTGCAGACTGGTGGAGAGAGAGCAAAATGGGATTTTGCATAGAAAGAGTGATTCGAAGCTGGTAGAAAGAGAGCACATTCAGATTTTCTAAATGTAAGGATAAAATAAACGCTTTACGCCATGACATGATGTATTTAAAATAAGAAAAGTATACAAATAAATTGTTTAGTTTTGGTATGTAGAGGTCACAGTCACTCTTGTCCATTGACTTTCAAATTGGGTGGCTGACATAAGAGTGCCATTAACTACAATCACAGTTAAAAAAAAATATCTTGAACTTCATGATACACCTCAAGCCATCCAATTAGACATATAATAACTAAGGTACCTCCATATAACAAAGATAAATGGTCATATAGTATACAATCTATTTAAAATACATATAATCATTTCCCTAAGGACAATTATTGTTTATGTCGAGGGAAGCGGGAGTACTTTCCACATTTGCATCCCTACGGCATAAAACATCAATCTTAAATATAGATGCAAACCTGTGTTCCCTTGGAAATAATTAACGTTAATGGTCTAAATGTTTTATTTGTAAAATAAATTTATGATTTTTAGTTTTTTTAAATTGATTTATTCTTACACGTTCATGATCTCCATGTCAGATATTATTTATTAGAAATGTATACAATAAGACCATTTACTTTTGATACAATGAAGTTACATCTATCAGTGATCGCTGGATGTGCAATCGATTGGTTGAGGATGTGTCAGTGATTGGGGCACAAAGTCTAAAATAAAATTTCTTAAATGTCATGACCTACTTCAATCATTGAATTTCTCAACCATTACTTAAAAATAATTGTGACCTTATTGTATCAAAAGTAATAAGAAAAAAATAATCTCATAGTATACAATCCATTATATATTCTTTGAAAATTAAGTCCCCAATCCATAGATTTAAGAAGGAACTATTTAGTAGTGGCACAATTTTTTTGGGCAGATAAGTGGGGAACACAAGTCTTTTGGAAAGTAGTCATGTCAGAATCGGGGCTGTGGGCTCACATGTACTACCAAGCCATGTTTTTTTCTTAAATTTAAAAGGATAAGGCCTATCTTTTATGAAAACAAAATAAACCATCACGTCAAATCATCATGTGAAAGTTTCTATGATAATTTTAAAATCAATTTCCAACATTGAAATTCAAAAACTCAAAAAAAATGGTACACTTCTTGTAGATTTGTGAATACTCATTTTACTATGAAATGGTAATTTGTTACAATATAAGTTATTAAGTTATGTTTTAATAGTTTTTATAGGGCACCACCCTATCAAACCATTTTTCAAAATTAAAACATACGTGTGAAGGCCAGGATAAGGTGGGGTCAGAGGCGGAAGGCGTGACCCATCTCTTTCATGCGTCATTTCACATATAACCACTACTCACACTGAGCACACAAGACGTCTAGAGAGACTGAATCTAGTGAGAAAAAACTACAGAGAAAAGGGCCAATGTTAAAAGATATTCCACTCCTCAAGGAGTATACTGTCTATTTATTTCCTCGAATAAAATCCCTTTTTAGAATGGGATTGGTATAAAAGAGGGAAAATGGTTTCATGCGGGCTGCACCGTATTTCTACAATATACAGTCTAAAGGTTTAAAACATCCATTTTAAAGATGGATGCAAATAGGTGGCCCATCTAAAAAAACAAATATAACTAATGGTTAAAATGTTTTTTTAATATAATTATAATTATTATTTCTAGTTTTTAATTTTTTTTTGTTTTCATATTCATGATCTCCCTGTTAAAGAATATATATTCTCTAAAAATTAGGATCCAATTATAGTTAAAAAATATATTTATTGTCAAACCCGTATTTCTACAATATACAGACATATAAGATATTCTACTCTTCTAGGAGTATAATGTCCATCTATGTATGTGTTCTGGTCCGATAGATAATGAAAGTGGTTCGACCCATTTTTAGTTTAACATGAACCGACAATTGGCACATGACGGTTAGGTAGCCCATGTAGCTTTTGATATTGGGTGTAAGCCCACGTGAACGTTCGAGCAAAATTAATTTTTTATGTACAAAAAAAGTATTTTCGTCAAAAAATATATATTTTTTATTTGCGGGTATTTGCTAGAAAAATATACTTTGAGGTAAAAAGTGGGAAAACAAGTTTAAGTTGCATAAGAAGTATACTCTTGGTTTTTTTTTTGAGAAAATTGCATAAATATCTGTTACTATTTGTGTTCTTACGGGGCTGTACCAAATAGTTTCTGTTATTATATGTATGTCCGTTTTTTACCTTTAATAAGGCAATTTTTTTAAAAAAGACGACTTTACTCTTTTTCGGATGTTGAACAACCGAATTGAAGGGTTTTTCCGATGTTTAACATCCGAAAATAGGCTGAAAGTTTAACGTTCACATTCTCATTTTCGGGTGTTGAACATTCGAACTGAAGGGTTATGCCGATATGTTGTATTCTTTGT